TTGTCGTATCAACTGTTTGTTTCGAGAGCATGGATATTCACTCATAGTTTTAGGTGTTGAGCTGAGTTGTCAGGCTATATATAATGGATGTGCTTCTTTCTGAATTATTTGCTCTCTTCGTAAACTGAGCGATCCTCTACCTCAACGTACAGACAAGAGAGCAAGACTGAACTTGATGTACTATGTAGTACTATTACGCTATGTTCTGAGATTAATGGATTTAATTTGTTATACTCTTCAGTTATTAGGTTATTATGTGTTGTCATTTAATTTGCTAGTGTCAGTGAGATTATAATTTACAGTTATGCTAAGTTGGCATTGTGATTCCGTTTGCTAGAATATTAAGTTAACTTTATAGTCGCCACATCATACTCAACAAGTGTTATAAAGTTATCAAGGAATTGTGAGATTTGGTTTAACGTCAATACCTTGTCATGGCCTGTTGTAGCCGCCACCTCCTCCCAGCTGGTTAGAATCAGCGCCACCGCCATCGCGCGGTCCACCAGAGTTACTTCGCGGTTGGCCACAGTAGCCCTTGGGTGGACCACGACCACCACGAGCAGCGGCATTAGCGGACGATTTGCCATCAATGCCTTGGAATAGTTCAACCCTCTGATCGAAGTTGGACATGAGGGCGAAGAGATGGTCGAGGGAGAGGGGCTCGGTGCGGACATCGAGGGCGGAGAAACAAAAGCAAAAACGTACTCGCGCCCGTTGTCGGACAGGAAAAGGGGAATATGCAAAAGCCTAAGAGGTACTTATCATGTCTTTTGCATATTCCCCTTTCCCCATCTGATGGGAACGATTTCGCTGTCCATCTCAGTGGAATACACAACTTGTAAGAAGTTCCCCCATGCCCTTCCTAAGAATATTGGTTTCCCCTCACCCTTGATGGTACAAATCTTGAAGGAGAAACCGCTCTCACTGTTGATACAGCTCTCGCTGGCCTGCCCCTCTTGTGCCACTTCCATGTTGGTGATATCCTTGTTAGTAGAGATGATACTACAGTCTTCATACAACGATCATGCGGATCTGAAGATAAAGTCAACACTTCCCTTGATTGCAGAGGCCTTGAAGTAGTGGAGCCCCTCATGGTTATACAAGGCTCCCTGGCCGGCCTCGATGGTGCGGTTATAGAAAATTGCCTTTGTGCCCATGACATGAAATGCAGTGGCCTACACTTGTTTGCCGCCCGCCTTGGCAGAAAGTGCATCATTCTTGATGATAATACCATAGGCAATGAAATAGTCGGACTCTATGAAAACAGTGCTACTACCATTGGAGCCGAGGAGCATGCCATCCTTACCCTTGGTCATGGAGGTATCATTCCACATGATAACAGCAGGGTGAGGGATCAGACTTTAGCGTGACGAAGGGCTTACCTTTTCCAATGAACACCTTCTCACGGAACACTATTCTGGGCTTTTGGCTAAGCACATATCATTTAGTGTTATCATCAGGATGTTGGAAATGTACTCACCGATGTTCCTGTACAAGCCATCTTCACCACCAAAGATAGTGTCTGGGTCAATGCTATTTCTAAGCCTTGAGGCCTCTGCTATGGAGAACTTGGCGTCAAGTGTCAATGTGGCTACACTACCCTTAGTCTCTTGCAATGCCACCCATTGATCTAAATCGTCTTGTCGCAACGACACTAGAAACAACGGAAGCATGAGCCAGCCCCATGAACAACGAGAGTTTCTTCATCCGCATGATTGATGCAATATGCAAGGTGTGCATGGGCAGGAAGTGCATCACTCTTGATGATAATACCATAGGCAATGAAATAGTCAGACTATGGTAACAGTGCTACTACCACTACAGCCGAGGAGCATGCCAACCTTGCCCTTGGTCATGGAGGTATCATTCCACACGATAACAGCAGGGTTGGAGGGATCAGATTTTAGTGTGACGAAGGGCTTGCCTTTTCCAATGAACACCTTCTCACGGAATACAGCTTTTTCAGACAGAGGGAGTATGTGCTTAGCCTAAAGCCCTGAACAGTGTTCCATGAGAAGGTGTTCATTGGAAAAGGTAAGCTCTTCGTCATCCATTTGAGGGACAAACTTTTTCAGACAGAGGGAGTATCTAGCACTAACTTGTTGCTAGATACATCCATTTGAGGGAGTATCATTTAATGTTATCATCGGGGATGTTGGAAATGCACTCACTGATGTTCTTGTACAAGCCATCTTCACCACCAAAGATAGTGCCTGGGTCAATGCTATTACCGAGCCTTGAGGCTTCTGCTATGGAGAGCTTGGCGTCAAGTGTCAATGTGGCTACACTACTCTTAGTCTCTTGCAATGCCACCCGTTGATCAAAACCGTCTTGTCGCGACAACACTGGAAACAACACAAGTATGAGCAGCCCCATGAACAACGAGAGTTTCTTCATTGCCATGATTGATGCAATAGGCAAGGTCTGCTTTCTCCTCGTTGTGGCTAGCGATTTAGTGAGTTGGGCTATATATAGTTCACATTGGGAGGTAATGAGAGGATGAGCAAAGATCAAGCAGAGAGAGTGGTCTTGAATCAATTCTCCTTCCGAGGTAGGTGCATGACCCTCAGTTTTATGGACGGTCTGCATTACCTTTACCAGACCATCGACCAGATGACACATGTATTTCTTTGTCCTTTTGTTCCATCAATCAACCGAGATACATATTTACAATGTAAAATTCATGCATCCCAACCCTTCGTGTTGTGTGACAAACAATCGAGTTACCTGCGGCATTCTTGGGGACAAGTATCTAGATTGATTGGTGAAAATTGAGACACGTGAGAGTTGTGTCAGATGGTCACCGACAAAGATATTATGAAGGATATGTGCGCCATGGTAGTCCTGGATTAATATACTTTTACGAGTCATAGATTAGTTAGCACGTACATTAAATAATATTGACACTAAACACAATTCATACTATACATGAGTAACATGACCAAATTCGAATGTCGGTGAAATGGCTAGAAGATATAGATGTTGCTTCAAGCAGAAAAAAAGGAAGAAAGATGTGGCATTCAGTTTGACTTGGTTAACAGTTATCTTAAGGCCCCTATGAACAAATAGTGCAGAAATGTGAAATTATGCAGATTGACTTGGTTGCCACCGAACTCGCCCACGATGAACTACAACTAAAACAACGGGAAGAGGTGCGGCATGGCCGGAGCGAGCGAGTGCGGCGGCCCGGAGAAGTACCCAGCTGGTCTGGGATGTACGGCATCCACCTCACTTTTTTCGAGAAAACGCAATAGAGTTGCGTTTCATTGCATTGAACAGGAAGACATCAGGGGTACAACCTCCAGAAAGAAGGGACACACACGCGCGCGCACGCACACACACACACGACCGTCCTCACCAAGTGACTACAGCTAGGTGAGGAGGTGCCCTCAACTACAGACACGCAACGACATTAGGCCTCGCCCAGCCTTGCCTCCAGCCAAAATGGCGAAGCACCGAGACTCAGAGCAACAGGGCAGCATCACTGCCATTGCCAGGCACTTCCAGGGACGAATGCAGCTTCAGGACCGCCCAAGCCGACGTACCTCGCACCCATGTGCCTAGAGAGTCGGCGGGTGAAAAGCAGGGCCTGATTGGAACTGGTGTAGCATTCATTGGGGAGCGCCGGCACAGGCAAACGTTGCGACCTGCTCCTTGTGTAGCAGTCTATGCCAGAGCGATGCATCGCCAACCACTATCTGCCGCATCAAGTACTCCACTTGCAGCCAAAGCAGCGCCATCAAGAGGGGAACGGCGTTGAGACACCGCCGCTGCCCGGTCCTGGAGGCCGGACCTAGGATTTCTCCCGGTGCTTGAGGAGGAGGTCTGGTCAGGGTCATGCCAACGCCTCCAAGGAGGTGACGGCACCCTCGGGCGTCGCCGTTGACAGCGCAGGCCGTCGCCGCGCGGGGATTTCGCCCCGACCCAAGGACGAAGACCTCAGATGCAATGGCAGACCGGGCATGGCGAAGAATCGTCGGAGAAGACCAACACACATGGGGGAAGCCTAGAAACATTGTCGTCGTAGGAGTGAGCACCGACCAGCGCAGCTCCAGCAGGCCGGCCACCGCCGGGAGCGCGTCCAGCAGGCGGCAGCAGCCACCTGCACCGCGCCTCCGCCACCAGGATCCGCCGGGGCACAGCGGAGCAGCAACCGTCAAGGTTGCCGCGCGCGTGCTTACTAACCCAGCGGCAACCGCCGGCGGCGGCCGGGAGGGGTGGGGGAGGAGGGAGAGGGGTGGGTGGGGGCAAAGTGATTGTCGCCGGCCTAGGCGGGCTCGTGCGGCCCAGATCTAGGCGCCCTCAACTCTGCCACACGCATCAGCGGCCGGCGGCCGCCATGGCAGCGCCACCGCGCACGCAGTCCACGCCATCTCGACCTCCCCGCGAGCAGACGGCCGCCCACCGCGCCACCGCGCGCTCCCGCCGCTCCAGCGCGCCCAGCAGCAGCGCGCGAGCACACGAACGAGGGCCCCGCCGCCGCCATCCACCGGTGAGGGCTTTGCCCGCCGGCATCCTCCGGCGACGGCAAGGGGAAGGAGGGGAAGGAGGGGAGCCTGGGCGGCGGCTAGGGTTTCGCCTCCCAAGTCGCCCCTGGGAGCGGCGCGGGGGCTCGCGGGGAGGGGGGAAAGAGTCCTCAATCTGTCGTCACACAGCATCCACCTCACTCAAGGGAAGCAATAAAGATTAACCCAATAAAGAACTCAATAGCCTACATCCGAATTTGCTATATTTATTTCAAATAGGATATATCGAGTTCAAAAGTACATGGACACAACAAGGATGGTCAACATATATATCGTCTCTTTCTTCTAAGGAGTCAACGGAAGATCACTGTACACTGCATAATGTTAAAATGAACGAGCAAAGCTAGCTAGATGTGACACTTGCAGAGGTTGCATTGAGAATTTATGGACTGATGAACCCACAAGCTATATATACATTTCTTGCTGGATGAACCTTTTCATCTCATCTTACAAGTGCAGTTTTTTCAGTCTCAACTATGATGAACTACTGCTGACAGTGACAAGCTTCTCCCGTAGCTTTTCCAAGCGGGCCTGGACAAGGGAGTGTCAGAATAGAAAGTCCGCGGCGCTAAATCATGCGACTGCAATTGGAACCATGAAATGCTAAAACTACAGTGCATTTTTCAACACTAACCTTGAAAGACTTGGAGCGACGAATAGATGGGTCAAGATCCAAGGCGCGTGCATATGCATCCTCTGCGGAGTGGTACTCTCCCATTGCAAACAGCGCGTCCCCTCGCAACAAGTGACACTGCATAAATATTGCCCGCAAGAGTTGATGCTTCAGAGACAGGAAGGTTACATGCAGCTTTTATCAAGAAAGGCAAGCACCAAATTTTAAGTGTGTATAGTTGTCCAATAAACGGCCATAAAAGAGAACAACAACATGGACACATTACACATTCAGAGCCAAGCTATGCACAAGGATATTTTCACAACAGTCTGCAAGATAAAGAGAAAAAAGACAAGATACTTGGGCGATTCAAAAGCATTAAATCTGTGATGTCTCAAAGCTTCAAATGGAGCTTACTAACCTAGGTCCATGATTACAGTTGTGTTATCAGGGCCACATTTATCGGTACATAGCGCAGCCTCGCAGATGTATGTATGAAATTACAGTGCCTTTGATATCGACATGATCTCACACTATGTGCACATATAAGTTAATCATCAGATTCATCTCGTAATCACCACTCTCGATTTTGTAATTCATGGGCTCATGGTCAGGCATACTAAAGGGTTTATTCAGTTCACTTTACTGTCATAGGTACCCACCCTGGCTTTCCCCAACCTGAACTTGCTTGTTAACGCAAAGCTATCGGCACAAAGTTATCGGTGACAGAAAATGGCCACTCTGAGCCATCCAATTCATAAAACAATACACCATAGCTAACTAAAGGATATAGTGTCATGAACAAGCAAAAGAGCTCAATTTAAGTGATACCTGAGGAAATTTGGGAGCTATCCTTATCGCTTCATCGGCATCCGCGAGCGCGCCGGCGCTATCCCCAATCGCCAGTCTCGCCTTGCACCTGCACAATTGCGACCAAACCATCACATGCCAAGCTCATCATAGTTCACATTTACACTGTCAGACGATAGTTCTCCAACCAAATTCAGCAGAGCAGAGCAGACCTGCCTCCGTAGGCCAGGTGCAGTCCACCAGGAGCATCCATTGCGATGCTCTACAGCCAGCACAAACAATCCATGGTCATTTCTCAATCAGAATAGCAAGCAGCTCTGTCCATGGCATTCTTCTGAAGAGAAAGGAGACAGACAGCAGAGCACGCAGGCACGGACCTCGGTGAAGAGGGCCTCCGCCTGGGCGGCGTCCCCGTCGGCGAGGGCGGCCTCGGCCTTCTCCCGTAGGGCCAGCGCGGCGAGCCCCGCGGCGGCGTCGAACTCGGCGGCGCCGAGGACGTGCTCCAGGAGCTGCGCGGCGCGGGCCGCCGTGCCCACGTGGCCGAATATAGCGTTGCCGCGGCCGGGGACTGTGGCTCCGACATTGGGCCCGGCCCCGCAGCGGCCCAAGCACGCGCAGGACGCCACGTCGACGCGCGGCGGGGGCGGCGAGAGCCCCTCGAGCGCCGCGAGCACCTCGCGCCCGCCCTGGCGGGCGCACGTGCGGTTCGTGCAGACCCGTATCTCCACCGCCCCCGCCGCGGCGCGCGGCGGCGCGGGCCCTCGCCGGCGTGGCGGCCGCGGCGGCCGGGAGGCGCAGGCTGCTCCCGCCACGGCCATCGCCAACGCCATGTAGGAGTAGATGACGGGACGGCTTGGACAGTGGACGAGGCTAGCTTAAAGACTTAAGGGTTGTATTTGCAATTTTGCATGCGTCGACGTGGCGCTGGGCCCGGCCGCTCGCATCGAAGCGGTGGGCGCTTTTGCGGAAAACACCCTCCCGTCCACGCCAGGCATAAACAACAACTCGGGACTCTCCACGCCGCCGTCTCCTCCTCCGGCGACGACTCCGGCGAATCCCTCTCCAACCCGCGGCGTCACGGGAGTCCGAGATTTCCCGCAAGGTATCCATCCCTGTGCTGCTCACATTCCTATTGGGTCTCGTCGGGACTTTTCTCCCTGCGGTTTCGCGGGATGTCGAGTGTGATGAACGGAACGGAGGAGCTGTGATCGGTTCGAGCGCTTGCTCCGCCGCGATGCGGTGTCTTCTTCTTCTTCTTCGCGCGCGCGCTTATCAGCTCGGATCGTCGCTGAGCCCGACCGCCTCCGCAGGCCACGCGGTGTTGACGCGCCGGCGCTTGGGACCACGCCCTCTAGCTGTTTGATGAAACGCCTCTCCCATCACTGCTTAACCATGTGGCTGCCGTACTCGTATGATGCTGTTGTAAAAAGTCATCGGACTGTAGGGTTCTTATCTTCTGTGTCTTGGTGTTTGCAGCGTCATGTTGGCGGCGCGTGTGAACCTCAAGGGCTGGCAGCAGGCGGCTGTTGCAGTCGGTTCGGCGTTCGGGGCCTTGCTTGATCCGAAGAGAGCTGATCTGATTGCTGCGCTTGGGGAGACCACCGGGAAGCCAGCATTCGAGCGTGTGCTCCAGCGCATGAAGAACAGCGCCGAAGGCAGAGTAAGCCCACACTATACCATCTCATCATAGCCGGGTGCACTGTTATGTTTGGGCATTTGTTGCTGTCTTAGACCATCATTTTAGACCCTTTGCTACTAGCATGTTCTCTATATTTTTATAGGTATGGTTGCTCGATTATTGAAACACCGTAATTTGTCATGTCAAAACTGAGAATGGTTGCCAACTGCTGATTCACCCATGCTATTGTTGTAGAATGTCTATTTTTCCCTGTTTATGTCGTTTGTTTCAGAGAGAGGACATAATCCACAGAAGATTGAATATGAACACAGGGTTATATGAAGCATTTGTTCTAGATTGATTCCTTTTGTTGCTGTGTTGTTCACTGGATTCTGTTTACCATTTGTTCTAGATACTTTCTAAACAACTTGAATATCCATTGTTATTACTGTCTGAGGCAACTGCACACTGTCTTTTACCAGTTTGATGCAATTTGCATATACATGGCAAACTGAAGATACAGTTCTATCCCTCTGTCTATGGACTTCCTTCATGTCTAAATTAGCTTGTTGTACATTGGTTCGTTGTAGAATATGTACTTTTCCTGTTAGTATGTGGCTTGTTTCGGACAGTGGACATAATCTACAAAGGATTTGATAGATATACAGGGTTCATATGAAGCATTTGTTGTACATTGGTTCCTTTTACTTTTATGGCTATACTGTTCATTCTTCATTGGATTAAATTTCCAAATTATGTTCCTATTTAGCTGGAGTCTAAGCTTCTTAGCTTGAATATCCATTGTTACTGTTATCTGAGGCACAGTCTTTTACCAGTTCGATGCAATTTGTATATACGTGGCAAACTGAAGATACAGTTATATCCATTTGTCTGTGGACTTCTTTCCAGTCTAACTAAAATAGCATGCTCCTACAGGAAATTCTTTTGGAGCGTCCTCGGGTTATATCCACTCGGGTTTCACACGCCTGGGACATGCCTGAGAACACGTTCGGTGCTGCCTATGCTCAGTTCATGGGATCAAGGAACTTCTCGCCGGACGACCGCCCACCAGTTCGCTTCATGGAAACCGACGACCTCGCCTTCGTCGCGACCCGTGCCCGTGAGGTGCATGACTTCTGGCACGTGCTGTTCGGCCTCCCGACCAACCTGATCGGTGAGACTGCTCTCAAGGTGATCGAGTTCGAGCAGATGTTCCTCCCGATGTGCATGCTCTCTGTCATCGGGGGCTCCGCGAGGTTCAGCGAGAAGCAGAGGAGGCTGTTCTTCCAGCACTATTTCCCATGGGCGACCAAGGCAGGTGTCAAGGCTACTGATCTGATGTCCGTGTACTATGAGAAGCACTTCCATGAAGATCTGCAGGAGGTGAGGAGGAACTGGGGGATCGTGCCATGCCCGGATCCCAAGGCGACGAGCAGTGCTTAGACTTTAGGCCAGTGCATTTTTGCATAAAAACGTCTGTATCTTTGGTTTCTCAGCCTTGCTTGTTGTCAGTTTCTCTTTGTGAGAATGATACCATGAACTGTGCTGCTGATATGTTAACAAGTAAATAGGGTATGGTAGCTGTTGGATGTTGCTTCGCAAGGTAATATGCAATGTTGACCACAAACTACTTGTATGGTATATCTTCTCGGTTTGCTCGAACGACTTATAATATTCTATATTGTAATTTTGAATCAGTGTATTACACTTCTGATCGCGGAATCTCGGTGTCAATTAAAATGGCTGAATCTCAGATACACCAGAGTCATACTTCAGCTTGAAACAAGGAGAAAGATGTTGTTTGCAAATAGGAAAACAAATATATATTACACCAAAAATAAAATTGCTCATCCCACTTTCTTCAAAACAACAAGTCTTCATGAACATTGCATGATCTGGCAAGCGTGGCATTGAGGAAAAAAGAAATGCCGTTACAACCTTGCTCAAACTCAGGTAGCACGCCAAATTTACAGAAAACCCATGCCGAGGACGCACACAGCTCCCCCTCAAAGAATCAACAACCTACTGTTGTTACATATGCATCAACCCCAGAAGAGCGCAATGCAATAATTACAGGGCTCAAAACTTACAACACAACACATCAGAATATGGACAGCTCAATGAGGGAGTATAACTTATGCGGCGGCTGTGGTGCACAGCACACACCGCATTCTAGACTCGCCCGAGGGGGAACCGTCGTCGTCCTCCGACCCATCGTCGCTGTCCCGGGCGTTGCTGTTTGATTTCATCGAGTCCAGTCCGCCTTCGAGGCAAGACTGGTGATACGCATGGCAGCAATAGAACACGATGAATGACATGTCCTGGATGGACAAAGGGTCGAAGCACAGGCAGCATCGAGCACCACATCTCGTTCTGGATTTCATCTCTAGATTACGTAAAGTCGATGATCTGTCGCCTGTTCGCGAAGATCCTTCATTGACTCTGGCTCCTTGTGCCTCCTCGTCCATGCTTGCCATGCAGACCCCACGCCGAGCCTCATGGTAGTATTTGACCAAAAGATTAACACAATCGGCCTACAGAAGGCAGAGTCAGCGAACATGTAAGATGGATGACAGATACACCAGGATAGTGAAATGGAGATGGCTGACCTTTAGTATATCGTTGCATCCATGTCGCAGTGAAGTTTCTGTTCGATAGTCTGTCACAATCTTCACAAGGCGATCCCGCAATCTGTCAAAGCGTGAATAATCAGTAAATACTTTAACCAGGAATGGAATGGGTTAAGAGGTGCCTTTGTCAGTTTTTCACAAATTGTTGGTGAATTATGACGAAAGAAATTGGTTTTGTAAGGTTTTTGTCATGTATATAATATTTCCTAGGATCAATCTTGTGATCTTTGGGCGAAATGGACTTCCAGGGAAACATACTTGGGTATTTCTAGCCCATCTGGAACCAAACTGACAATGTACAGAGGGTCAAGATTGCCGACAGTATGTTCCAACAGCATCCCAACCTGCTCAACAGTCACAACAAAAAATGTAAGACATATAATATAATGGTATCAATCTCATGACGAGTAAGCAGACATCTCATTCGATTACCATTTCAGGCTTTTGGAGGCACTGTCTTATCAGTTCGTCCCATAATTCATCATCATGTTGCTCCGTAACAAATTCAACGGCCTGCATACAGTTCAAAAATTATGTTATTCTAATCCAAACCCATAGACTCAAGTTGGGTAACACAGCATAAGATATCATAAGAAAATGAGGAGAGCCAGGTTAGGACCTCCTGTATGTCTTCCAGTTTGTTTATAATTGTAGAAAGCGCTTCCTTAGCATTTCCCATACGACCAAGAACAAAAACTTGCTCCTTGACAAATTCTTTTTGTGCAAATATTTCATATGCCTGAAATACCACACGCCATTGTTAACTATAATGAATGAATAACTTTTTTTTAAAGTATTAGGACTAGGACCTTGTCAAGCCTGTAATGCTGGCTGGTACGAAGGAAGGGTAGCAACATCCTTGGCTCATAATCCGCATAAAGCTCCAGCTACAAAACAGATAGTTTGGAGTTACTAGTTTGTGTCAAAACACGAGATAAGGGGGTACAGAAATAGGGGAAACGGGAAGAATGAGCGGGCAGACAATATATAGGGATAGTATGTCCAATGAGAATCCACATACCTGCATATCATGGTAATCTTTTCCAGCATGTATGTCTACCTCAAACAAAGCATGCAAATACTGATGCAACAGATATTTTCTGTCGCAACTTTTACTCGCATGCAACAGTTGCTCCACGACTTCATACGGGGGAATGATATCACGATGTTGGATCAATAGATGGACTGCCCTTTTACCATCCAATAGCATAAGATTGACAACCTGCAGAACGTAAAGAACAATAAATAAATGGAGCATGTGAAAGACTTTGTCTTTCTACGTTATGTCTTGGTAGAATGTAACTATATATAAGGAACTTAAATTAGACCACAGACTACGTTATGGCCACATTAAATTCCACAAAATTCAGTCACGAACAAATATCAAATGCTTGCGATAATTTTATCATCCAATATCCTTACACTGCACCTTATCATGAATGGCATCATGCAAACTGTGCTTCTCGATAAACTCAAATACTTCAGGCTTCAGCAGCTGAACAAAATAAGGTTTTAGCAATAAAAACATGCCCTAGAAACAAAAATGCAGGAACTGCTCCTTTTATAACTCAAATGTAGAATGGAGCTCTTAACTGTTACAATCTAGGATGTACTTACTTCAGCGAAGAGAGAAAGGGCCTTTTCATATTGACTGTTGATCACGTACAACTCAGCTAAAGCCTACAAAGCAGACAAGATCAAGATACCAACCTCCAGCTCAAATAAATAAATTACTGTCTTTCGACATCCAGTAAACAATATTCCGACCCACCTCTTTTAATGAGCCAGTCATCGATGAGGAATTGAGCTGTGGCTCAATAGCAGATATGACTGGTGAAGCAGAGTATAATGTAGTTGGCCAACTTTTTATTGTAGTCAAGAGAAGTTCGTGAAAAGACGCATTGGTAGTTAAAGCTACAAGAGCAACCTACATAGGCCACATTAGAATATCATTACAAATAGATAGGTTTGGAAAGAACAAGCAAAAAACTGTTAGAAGCAGAGATGAGCAGGGGCCGAACACAGGATAGTGTTTTTCTGGAGCTGTTACTTGTATTGTTGCCTTGAGGCATATAAACAGTCAGGGCAAGTCGGTTGCTAATGCTGAACCGACCATGCAGCTCTAGCAGTTGCTAGTACATGCAAAAGGCAAATTGACTACTACTAGCTGAGCAGCTGCATTCACTATCTTACTGACTAAGGGCTCCTTTAATTCAGAGGATAGGAAAAATGGAGGATTAATATGCCCTGCCCATCTGAATCCAATGAAATTGCAAGACAAAGGAATTGGAGCAAGTGTGTGTTTGATGGAAGCGTAGGAATTTTCCAAGAGCTTAGAATTCATGCAAAATTTCCTACCAAATAGAAAAGGGAAAGTTCCATAGGAATGATTCCTAAGGATTGCATTCATATGAATCAAACAACATCTATAGAGAAAAAATTCCAATTCCATAGAATCACAATCCTATGAAAATCCTGTAAGAATCCTATGAATCAAAGTAGCCCTAAGGAAGCTCTAGCTGACCTGTACTACTACTCCCTAGCTAAGTAAAATATAACACAAGGATTACAACTAACAAAAACTAGTACAGGTACCTCATAAGCGGTATCACTCAGCTGTGGATTCTCTATGGGTATGTAAGGGATCAACACAGGAAGCTGGCGGAGATGAGCAAAGTGAAAGACCCACCTGTGGCAGGTAAGTTATTGTTATTAGATGTAAAACGTGTATGATTAACACAGATAGTGCCCATGGAAAACAACTCCTTCTCTGGGTGAGAAATGTGTCTACATAATTATCTCACCTCTCCCATGCTGAAGGAGATCCTCGCAGTAACTTTGGACAGAGTTGCGCTGCTTCAGCATATTTTCTTTCAATGATCAAGTGATCAAGGTATCTTGTGCCCACCTACAAAATTGAATGAACAAAATTTAATAATAATTCAACTATTCGTTGTGTGGTTAGATCTCCTTTTCATAGTTAGAGCCACCCTTCCTAAAAACTGCCCCACATACGATAGACCAATTACATGGTTAAACATAACACGCTTACAACTTTCTGAAAAATGAATTGAAAAGAAGAATGCATATAGATGGGATTTAAGAAGGGAACATGTATTTCAGCGTCTCATTTATCATTTCCAATGTTATGGTCACCTTAGCTCATGACACTCAAAGGTCTAAAGGTTTTCTAAAATAATGTCTAAAGATGGATTATTTTGAATAGAAACACGTATTGCTCAGTGACAGAGGTCTCATTATTTTCAGATGGGATGGCTAAGTTGTACATGAGGTCAACAATAGAGTGAACACAACCAACGTAATACTGGCTCCTTAAAGATGCCAATTTCTAGGTTCCTAATAAATAAATAAAAGCATCCTCGTCATCAGACAAATAATGCTGATGCACTGTACTCCATTTACTAATCAAACTTGGCATTGCTACTTTACCTCATCAAGAAGCTCAGTCCTCCCTTGTCCTGCTTCAACTGCAGCCAATGCCTTTTCATGCCAACCATGTTGAAGAAGCCACGCAATATGGTCTTCAGTATCTCTAATTAGAAGGCACGTGCAATCAGAGAAAAATTGCCAATGAAGATCACCACAATTTCAGAAAACATAACGCTTTATAAATAACCATTGGCTTGTTTAATTAACAATTGTAGAACAAGGGGCTAATATGCACTCTAGGTCTGCAACATTTTAACGAACCTTGGCTTTGCTACCACAATATCCTTAGGAGAGACGATGTAATACAGCGGTTCATCGCCAGCAGCCCACTGTCCACCCGCATTGCTACTTCCTGGATCACAA